TATTGCATGAAGTATTATTTTTTATCCTTTGACTTTCAGTCTGTGAGTATCCTTTTGGGTTAGATGAGTTTCTTGTTGACAACATGTGGTTGGGTGTTGTTTCTTGTTCCATTCTGCCAGTCTATTTCTTTTAATTGGTGAATTGAGACCATTTACATTAATGGCTATAACTGTTATATAGGTTTATTGTTTACATGATATCTTTTTGGTGTTGCATCTTTATCGTCCATTCTGTTTGTCTGCTTTGCTTAGTGGTTTTTTCCTAAGTGTATCTAAACTGTCTTTCAATATTCTTTGCAGGGTTGGCTTGGTGATCATAAAGTTCTTCAGCTGTTCTTTGTCATGGAAGTATCTTATTTCTCCATCCATTTTGAAGGACAGTTTTTCAGGATACATCAGTCTAGGTTGCAATTCATTTTCCTTTGGGATCTGAAATACTTCACTCCATGCTCTTCTTGACTTTATTGTTTGAGCTGAGAAGTCCCTTGTGATTCTGATAGGTTTTCCTTTATAGGTGATCTGTCTTTTCTAACAGCTTTTAATATTCTATTCTTATGTTGGGTTTCTGGGATAGTGATTACTATATGTCTGTGTGTAGTTTTGTTTTGGTTATGGCTCTTTGAAGTTCTATATGCTTCACTAATCCTGTTGTTTCATTGTTCTCATGTTTGTGAAATTTTCAGGTAGTACTTGTATAAATATCCTCTTGATATCCTTTGTGTTGTCCCCTTCTTTTTCATTTATCTCTATCAATCTTATGTTGCTTTTCTTTGCATCATCTTGCAGCTGTTGAATTGTTATTTCCTGATTCCTTGTTATTTTTAAAAGATCGTTCCTTTCATGTTCACAAGCTGCAATCTTGTCTTTGAGATCTGAAATTCTATCTTCACATTTGTTGAGATGGTTTTGACAACTTTCAATGGAATTTTTGATTTCCTGTATATACCTTTGAATCTGCTTCATGTGTTCTGTTTGCTTCTTATATTGTTCATCCAGGGATTCTAGCTTTTTGTTTTGTTCCTCTAAGTTTTTAACTGTCTTCTTTAGATGTGTTCAGCATCTCTTTTATTTCTTTTATCATTACTTCTTTTACCTGGGAGATTATTTCTAGTTTGAATTCCTTTAAAGCTTCCCAGTGTTGCTTCTTTATTTCAGTTGTTATTATTTCAGGTGTATGGCATACATTTTCTTCTATATACATAACTCCTAATGTTGCTTGGGATGGGCTAGAAATTTGAGATTGTATTTTAGTCTTTCATTTTGTCATTTTGCTATATATCCGTGTTTCAAGTGTTGTTTCAAGGCTTCCCTTGGGCATGTTGGATATCATCTTCTATGCCCTCAGCTCCTGGGATTCTGGCTGCCCAGTTGCCAGGATTGAGAGAGGGTCACTCTGGGTGGGGCAGGCAGACCCAAGACCTGCAGAGCAGGTCTAGTGTCGCAGTTTGATCCTCAGTACCAAAAAAAAAAAAAAAAAGGTAAAATAAGACATAGAAAGTAATTATATAATAATTGATTCAATAGGAGGAAATATATAAACACCCAATGCCAGAGTACTCAATTACATTTTTTAAAACCACTTTTAGACCTACAAAGGGAGGTAGACTCAATACAATAAGAGCAAGGGATTTCATCCCTTCCTTTCCATCAATGGTAAGGTCATCCAGAACAAAAAAAAATCACCAAGAAACACTGGATTTATATGGAATCACACACCAAATGCACCTAACAGATATTGATAGGACATGACAAGCAAAAGCTGCAGATTGCACGTTCTTTTCATCAGCACATGAAACAGTTTCTAGGATAGGCCATATATTAGGCCATGAACAAATCATAGGAAATTCAAAATAATAGAAAGAAAAACAAAGATTGGGGAAGAAATAAATACAATCAAGATTTTTAAAAATACAAAACCTCAGCAAAGTAAAGAAGTGGTTTCTCCAAAAAATAAAGTTGGCAAACCTTTAGTTACACTAGCCAAGAAAAAAATGAAATAAAAACAGTAAACAAGAGCAAGAAAAAGAGGAACCATCACAATCACTATCACAAAAAGTATCATTTAGGGATAATTATGAACAACTATGTGCCAACTAGAAAACCTAGAAGAAATGTTTAAGCTTCTAGGCACATGTATCTACAAAATTGAATCATGAAGACATAGAAAACTTGAGCAGACTACAAACAAACAACTGAGTTAGTAATTACCTCCCAAGAAAGAGTATATTACTACCAGAAGGTCTCATTGCTGAATTTCACCAAAGTTTAGAAGAATTAAAACCAAATTCTTCTCAAACTATTTCAAAAAACTTAAACAGCAGGAATTGCTTCAAATAGATTCTATAAACCTAGCATTTTTCTGATACCAAAACCAGACAAGAACATACAAACAGAATATAGACCAATAGTCTTGATGAACATAAATTCAAATATTTTCAACAAAATATGAGAAAATTAAATATAAAGGCATATTAAGGTCATATATATATATGTAATGATCAAGAGGAATTTATGCAAATGATGCAAGAATGGTTTATCATATGCAAATCAATATATGTAGTACATCAACAAAAGGTAAAACCATATAATCACTGCAATAGAAGCAAAAAAATTTTTTACAAATTCAATAGCCTTTTATTTTAAAAGTCCTCAACAAATTAATTATAGAAAAAAGTTAACACAGTGAGGGCTACATGTGACAAACCCACAAGCAACATCATATTGAATGGGAAAAGGTGGAATTATTTCTGCTGAGATCTGGAGAAAGATAAGGTTGTTCATTTCACCACTCATATTCAACATAATGATAGAAACCTTAGACCATCAGGCAAGAGAAAGAAATAAAGGACATCCAATAAGAAAGGAGGGGATCAATTTATCTTTTTTCAAAGATGACAATTTTATATCTAGAAAAACCTACAGACTTCATTAAAAAGTTAGAACTGATAAATTCAGTAAATTCAAAGAACATAAAATCTCATACAAAAAGTAGTAGCATTTTTGCACACCAATGATTTTTTTCAAAAATAAAGAAAGGAATCTCACAGTAGCTATAAAAATAAAATATCTAAGAATATGTTTAACAAGGAAGAGAAATGTTCTCTACAATGAAAATTGCAAAGCACTAGTGAAAGAAATTAAGAATGCAAAAATTGTGAAGACATTCCATATTTATGGATTGGAAGAATAAATAATGAAAGAATATTAGTCCATAATATCTAAAGTAATTCATGTATTCAGTACAATCCTCATCAAAATACTAATAGCATCTTCACAGAAATAGAAAAACCCAAACATTCATATAGAAAAACAAATGACCCAAAATAGCCAAAGCAATATTGAGCAAAAAAAGCAAAGTTGAAGGCATTATAATACCCAACCAAAAACACATTACAAATTATAGTAGCAAAAACAGCATGGTACTAGCATAAAGACAAACACATAAACAAATAAAAGAGAAAACTCAGCAGCAAATCCACATATCTATAATCAACTCATCTTGGACAAGGTATCAAAAACACACATTGAAGAAAGGACACCAGCAGTTTGTAGGAAAACAGAATAACCATAAGAATGAAATTAGACCCATGTGTCTCTCATCAGTTACAGAAACTGAGTCAAAATAAACCAGACCTAAGTGTATCAAGTATAATCAAAATATATTGAACGTTTAAATTTTTTTAAATTTATTATAATAAAAGACACATACCACTAATCCTTTCTCAAAATAATCCCCCTCACTTCAAACACATTTATGCCATAATTCTTCACATGTTCTGAAACAGTTCTGGAAGTCCTCTTTTGTGTCTTTATGAGTTGTGATAAAAAGGAAGGGAGGGAAAGAGGGAGGAAAGGAAGGAGAACAAAAGGAGGAAGGAAGAAAGAAAGGAAGGAAGGGAGGGAGGAAGATGGGGCCAGCCTTTAAGTAGAAGGCAGGAAAAGGACAGACACAGCACTGAGAAGGTTTCTACCACTGGTTCCAACACAACACATCTAGTGACACCAAGACAAAAAGTGGAGGAGTGCTCAAGTCCCTCATGCTTCAAGTATGAAAGAAAAACAATCAAAATGTCTCCTAAAGGAAAAGGGTTAAAAACCAATGAGAAAATGCCTAAAGATAAAAGGAAAGATAGCAGTGAAGTCAGGAAGGAAAACTTGCAGTCCATGTTGCCAGGCTGGCCCCACATGAGCTAGATCTCTCTGCATTAATAACAGAAGCATAATCAGAAAGAACTCCACAGTCAGACAAGATAATGCCAAGTCTGCATCACTTATTGCCTTGCAGAAAGGCAATGACTGAATGCTTTAAGGAGCAATAGAAGACTCTTTCCCCCACACCCTGGTCACCAAAAAGCACTAACTGCCTATGAGAGTGATCCACTTGTCTCTCCTGGAGGAAGACAGACACCAGTGCTTAGATGTCTGAATTGACAATCATTTACCATCTACTGGGAGAACTCAGCATTGGCAATTCAGAGGAAAATGTGCAGGTGTCAGATTTATTGAGGGAATTTAAGGAGCTTCCCACAAAGGTGAATAAAGTGGTGGCCTTAATAGACGTGTGGAGAAAGGCTCAAAGCCTGGGACCTTCACTTAAGATACTGCTTTAGCAGCATAGCTATTTTTTGTGATAATCATGCTTAATAATTACAACATAAAACTTTTACAATAGTAAAAAAGAAAGAAATGATAAATGTTTAAAGATGTGAAAGTGTTAACCTGATTTGATTAGAACATACTGTATCTAAATATCACACTGTATCTTGTATATATGAAGAAATAAAAATAATAATAAATGACATTCAATCTTAAAAGGAAAAGGAAAATAAACAGATAAATGAATAAATAAATATTTGTGTCTGATATGGAGGGGGGAAGTGGGTGTGTGCATGATGATTGCCACTGTCAGCTGACAAAGCATTTTCTGTCTTCCAAAGTAGATTATCCATGTAAATAAACGACTAATAAAGTTCTGCCCTCATGCTGCTCCCTCCCACTAGTGGGCAGGCAATCTTCCACAAAACAGGCCAGGTGGTGAGACTAGTCAGAGATCCCGAAGCCACTGCACCATGAGCGTCTCTGCATTCAGCCCCACCAGATTCCCAGGCAGCATCTCTGGACTCCTCCAAGTGGTCTCCCTGCTCAGCCTGCTTCTGCTGCTGTTCAAAGCAGCCCACTTCTACCTGTGCAGACAATGGCTGCTCAAAGCTTTCCAGCAGTTCCCGTGTGCACCCTCCCACTGGCTTTTAGGGCACAAGGTAAGAAAAAGCAAGAAGGGGACAGCAGGGAAGCTGGCGCTTTCAGAGTCTAGCCAGCAATCCACATGACAGAACTACCATGTAGCAAGCATGTGATCTTCAAGAAGCACCCAGTGACCCTCTCAGGCTGTGCTTATCTCAGCCTCAGGGAGCTCACTCTACAAGAAGCTGGTCCGGCTGTGACTCAGCTCTATCATACACTCCTTTTTTTTGAATATCTGTCACTTGACCTGGCAGCCTTGCACTTGGAGACACTGTGGTTGACCCTTCCTGAGTTCTGTCTCCTCCAAGCTGAGCACCCCTGGCTCTCTCAACTGTGTGCAACAAACCAGACCTTGTTTATTTTCTATTTTGAGATGGGGTCTTGCTTAGTCTCTGAGTTGCCCAGGCTGGGCTCAAACTTGCAAGTCCTGCCTTAGGATCCTAGAGTGCTAGAACCAGCCAGGATACCACCTACTCCAGTCACTTGATGCCAACCTCTGTGCTTGGGCCTGAGCTTGTCTGGAGATACTGATATGAGTGTGATAGAATCCCTGCTCTGAGGGGAGCGCATGGTAAACATGAATCTCAGGAGGTGTGGGGCCACAGGCAAAGTCTAACAGGGAGGGCTATGACATCAGGTGGAGGAACCAACTAACTAGATTTGCCTGAGACTGGGGGAATCTCCAAAATGGGTGATCATGGAGGCTAACATATTGAAAATTATGGACACACAGAGTGAGACAACAGCACAATTCTGCTGATGAAGGGGACTGACATTAGAGTCACTTATGAAACAGCCTTTTTATTTGCCAGCTCAGCCTCCACTCTCCCCATGCTATGAGCTCACTGGAGTTGGCACAGGTCTGTGGAGTCCCCCTCAACAAGTCTTCCAGGAAGGAGAGAAAGGAACAATGTACAAGCTGAAGAGAGACAGCAATGACTCCCTGCAATGCCACCCCGTGGCTTGATGAGGGACTGCAAGAAGAGGAGCTTAGCAAGAGATTGCGCACTGAATCCACTTAAGAAAAGAGAAATAAGGAGCTCAGAAAGACACCTGAGTTGCTGATTCCCATTGCTTCTCTCATGCACACAACTTCATTTAGTGGGGCACAGAATCTGACTTAGGGAAAGTCCTGGGAGACAGCAAATTCTGGTGGACAGCATAGATAGGTTATGCATCCAACTCCAAATTTCTAATTTTTGCTGAATGATCCACAACTATGTCCCTCTGGTAGTCCTACCCTTCACTTCACTGCAAGGACTAGAACTAAACAAAAGTACTTACTGATTTGTCTTTCCCTTGGTGACAGATCCTGCCAGAAGACGAGCTGCAGCAGACGCTGAAATGGGTAAAGGAATTCCCAAGTGCCTATCCTCGCTGGTTCTGGGGGAGTGAAGCTCACCTGATCATCTACGACCCTGACTACATGAAAGTGATTCTGGGGAGATCAGGTGAGACTAAAGCCTCATTTTAGCAAGAGGAGCTCCTTCCTCTGTAGTATACACATCTGACCCATCAAATTTCAAAGCAGAGCAACACTTCAGGCATCAACTCAAAATGCTACCCATCATTTACCCAAGCCACAATTCAGTACATGGCCAAGAACTCTTATTCATTACTGAAGTTTTAAAAATAACAAACTGCATGGGGCCAATTTTCTGTTTTCTTTCTTTTTAAACTTTCTTTCTTTAAATCTAAGTAAGGAATGCGTTGTATAAAGTGATCTAAATCTGAAAAGCAAACTATGTACACCAATTTGGGTTCAAAACCACTAATTGTCACCTGTTTGATGTCATGAAATGACTGAGCCAGGACCCACACTAGCAAAGCAATAAGCTCTGTTTTATTCCTTGGCATTGAGGCTGTAGCCATTGTTTCTCCCCAGTTCCTCATCACAGTCCTGGGAGTGGTCAGCTTCTACTACAAGGAGCCTACCTTCCTGAGACAAACTGACTGTCAGGTTTAAGGGATTAGAAGCAACAGCAGGTGCCATAACATCAGCTGCCACCTGGCAGTCATCGAGAATTTTAACGTGCCATAGTTTGAACAACAGTTCCCTTAGGGCCACATTATTTGGCCTTCAGTTTCCTTTAATGCCCTTGCTTACCTTTCAGATCCAAAGGTCATTTCTTTCTACAGATTCCTGGCACCTTGGATTGGTATGTATGTTTAAATTGAGAGCACAATTATTGTCCAATAAAGTTTCCCTAGTGCTACTTCTCTGGTTTACAGAGAACAAGTACCTAGTCAAGACTGTCGTGAACCATCCCTAAATCGACCCTCATTTTTCTTCTCATTAGACACTTATCCCTTCCTACTGCTGAAATGAGCCCTCCTGAAGATCAGCTCCTGCCCTATCTCTTCAAGCATTCCTACCTGGCATTTTTTATGCCCCTCCTTGACCTAACACCAACACTTTTTAAAAATCTTTATCTAAGAAGAGTTGTCATAATCACAGCAGATGGACCATCCCAATTGGAAAAGTCTATGTTCATGAATATATGTGTCTTTCCTCCCTTTGTCCAAGAAATTCTACCCTCAAGAGTTGTAGAGTTCCTCCCAAATTATCCCAGGGATCTGATTCTGTCGCATACATACATACCACACACACACACACACACACACACACACACACACACACACACAGATTACATACACCTATCTCTGGTGCAGGGTATGGTTTGCTCCTGTTGAATGGACCAACATGGTTCCAGCACAGGCGAATGTTGACCCCAACCTTCCACTATGACATCCTGAAGCCCTATGTGAAAATCATGGCCAACTCTGTTCGAGTGATGCTGGTGAGTCTGTCTTTCATGAATTTACACTCACAGCAAACATTCAGATGCTGGTCTTCAACACATGTGACCTCAGACAGTCATATGGAATAGCATTCTTTAAGTTAACCCTGTGACAGTACACAGGACACAGAGGATCCAAGCATCAGGGTCAAGCCACATTGTGCTCATCACCCATGACAGAGTGTCATGGTGGATACAGGACCCGCCTTGCACTTTCAGGTCTTTAGCACAGTGGATTAGTGGAGGAGTCAGGCCTGCTCAACACCAGGACTGCTTGTCCCTGGCTGGCCTGAGGAACAGCAGCAGCTGCAGTGGCTCAGGGAATCTCACAGCATATCATTTAATTGCCTCAGGCACACATTTTCTTCGTGGGTTTTGAGTAATACATGCAGTAAAATGGACAATAGGAGCACATTCTTACAGCCAACCTGCCATCCCATCATGTTTCAACAAGACTAGTTCTGATCCAGCTGGTCTCAGCAAACGTTTTAATGAGTAAACAAGAATTAGAGGCTAGGGATTTAGCTCAGCGGCATAAGCACCTGCCTTGCAAGCAGGCAGTCATGAGTTTGATCCCTGGTACCGATAAAAACAAAAAAGACAAAAAAAAAAAAGAGTAAACAGAATCAGATTAGTTCTATAATATGCAATAAGTATATAAAGTGGGTGAAGTTAGGGACAACTATTTGTAAGAAGCTAGAGACGGTTAGATAAGGTAGATCTCCAGTGGACTTGCTTTGAAATCTGTATTTCTTTAAATTGTTTTTTATTTTTTTATTTAAATGTTCTGTTCTGTTTTGATATGGTTAACCTTACCCTCTTAGAGATGTAAAACAAATGGGTGGGACTGATAATCATATTACGGAGCTTTTGTTCAACCATAGAGCAGAATGGTTTCTAGGGTCACTTTTTTGAATGTCATTCTAAATACTTTAATTCTATAACCTGAACAGCCATTTCGAAGATGACAATTTGTAACTTATCAACCGGCAATTTCTTACCTTTTGTTTGTCTGTAATTTAGTATTATTTCTACCCTTTTTTTAAAATCTCCATGTATTTTTTTTTCTTTTTTCGTTTCCTTTTCTTTAAATAAAAAAAAAATTTAAAAAAAAATCAGAGTCCTTTATGGCCCTCATTAGAAGAGCCCACAGTAAAACCTTAGGTTTTCTTTTAGTTGACACATTTGCCTTCTAAAATTGGAGTCCCACTATTCCCTCAGATCAAGCCCAATTCTCAGAATATTGAAGAATCATCTTCCCTTTTATCCCCTGAAAAATCTATTTTGTTGGTTGAAAAAAAAAAGAAATGTAAAACATAGCTGGTTGCCAAAACTTTCAAATTTATTTCAGGTCTTACAGAATGCTATGCTTAATTCTTAAATAAGTTGTGAGAATGTGGAATATGGGGCGGTGGGGGAATTCTAGCCTATTTAACTGAAGAACTCTAGAGAAAGTAAGAAGGTAAATGTTATCCTCCCACCATAGGACAAATGGGAAAAGCTCATCAGTCAAGATGCCTCTATGGAGATCTTTCAACCTGTTTCCTTGATGACACTCGACTCGATCATGAAGTGTGCCTTCAGCTACCAGGGCAGTGTCCAGCTGGACCGGTCAGTGACAGCCTTTCAGCTGAAAAGTCCTTATTCTTGCTACTGATACAGACTCATTTGAGAAGCAAGTGGGGCAGCCCACCTAGTGCATCCAGCCACATTTGCTTTGCACTATTTCTGCTACAAAACAAGATTCTGTTTTAAGCCCCAAACCACCTGTAATTCCAGTCTAGATCCAAACCTGCCTCAGCCATACACCCCTGATTCCTAGCAAGATTGAAAGCCCAGCTGCTCACCATTTTCTAAAGGCCAGAGAGTCACAAAGACTATAAGATAGAAGTAACACATGACTCAGTGTTTTGTGCCCCCACCTTTGAGGGAATAGCCCCTCTACCTCCAGGTCAGATCTCCTTTCAGTTCAATCTGTTCTGTATCTTCTCCCTCAGGAAATCCCGGCCCTACCTCCAAGCCATTGAGGAGATGAACAACATGTTTTTTTCCCGTGTAAGGAATATGTTTCACCAGAATGACACCATCTACAGTTTGTCGTCAAATGGCCAACGCTGCAAACGTGCCACTCAGATTGCCCATCACCACACAGGTACTTTCTCCCCCTCCTGTGTCCCATCTTTACCAGACTTAACCCAGTAGAAATGGCGTCAGCCCTTCAGATAGAACCAAGCCCTCTGGTGCCCTTGCAAAACCTGAGGCTCATGCTGGTCTTCCCTAGTGCAAGGGAGCTGAGATGTGAAGGTGTTAGGTAAGGTGCTCTCACATTGGTGATTCTGAGCAACACTGAAGAGCTGTACTCCTGGGGAAAACTTGACCTGTATCAAATAGTGCTGAATTCCCACTCCTGACCCACACACTGCACTCTCATCCTGAGCTCCACAACACTTCCATATTGGGTCCGGGGAGGGAGATACAGGTTGGGTTGCTGTAGGTTTCTGTAGTTCTTGGTTCTACCTAGGAACTTTTGTTCTGGGATAGACCAAATAATAAAGCAGAGGAAGGCTCAGCTGAAGGATGACAAAGAGTTGGAGAACATCAGAAAAAAGAGACACTTGGATTTCCTGGACATCCTCCTGTTTGCCAAAGTAAGACTGTGTGGGAGAGCCTAAGGCTTTGATCAAACTCACAGAGCAGGGACAAACCCTCTTTGGTTGTTTGTGTTCCACCTCAGACAGAAAATGGGAGCAGCTTATCAGACGAGGACCTGCGTGCTGAGGTGGACACCTTCATGTTTGAGGGCCATGACACCACAGCCAGTGGTATCTGCTGGACCTTGTATGCTCTTGCTACACACCCCAGCCATCAACAGAGGTGCAGGGAAGAGGTCCAGAACCTCCTGGGAGATAAAGGCTCCATTACTTGGTGAGTAAGAGCTGAAGAGGTGGGAGAGCACAGCCTCTTTTGCCAGGGGAGACCTCAGTCTTTCCAGACTCTTTCTGCCCTTCAGGATGGGCTTCATTTCAGGGAACACCTTGACCAGATGTCCTATATCACCATGTGCATCAAGGAGGCCCTGAGGCTCTATCCACCAGTTCCATTTGTTGGCAGAGAGCTCAGCAAACCTGTTACCTTCCCTGATGGAAAATCTTTACCCAAAGGTATAACCTTTCCAGGATCACCTAAGTTCTCCTCAAGGATAGGGAAGAATTAGGAAATTCATGTGTGGTTCAGCAGTTCTGAATCTGGCTGGGTCTTTCTTTATTGTCAATAAATGAATGCTTCTTACTTATAGAGTACATTTTTCTTATGTAGAACATAAGCCTACATGAACTATACAGCTCCTTCTAATACTGTCTATTCACATGGTTACCACCCTACACTACTCCTGTTCTTCAGCTGACATTCGTTCTTCTTTAGAATGCACAGTCTTGCAATGTTGCAGTTAATTGCAGTTTGGTGATAGTGACATTCTTTGATTCTAACACTCTAGGCTCCAATTCTAGATGACATGTATGACCATATTTGTCCCTTTGATTGCCAGGAATCTCAAAGGGTAGATTTTTCTCACATCTTTTTTACATCTTCTATATTTGATATAATATATTGCATAATTGAGTAAAAAACTATATGTATTAATAAATGTAATGCGATTTATCCTGTGGGAATTTCCCCACAGAGAAATATTAACTTTTAGATTTTGGCCTCTAAAATTCTAACACCCTAAAATGTAGAGGATGATGAGAGAAACAGATAGGGGCTAAGGAGACGTGGTTCTTATGCGGAGTCAAGACAAATGAGCAGTGAATTCTATGCCATTGGTCAGCTATGGTCCAGTCCTTGAGGAGCACTCATGTTGAAGGCAGAAAGCAGCTGATAGCCAGATCTAAGAACCCTGCTATGGTAGCAAACGACTTGTTGGTTCACCCTCCACTAAACGTGAGTCCCAGTCCTGCCACATCCTACCTGCGCAATAGCTGACAATTCCTCTCTGAAATGTAGTTACCTCATCTGAAAAATGGGGCTATATCAGTGCTTTCTCTGGAGGGTTGTTATGAGGACTAAATGAATTAATGTATGCTCCTCAGTGAAAATCCTTTATCAACAAAAGTTCTCATTTGATTTATAACAAAAAGGAAAGTCCAATTCTTTCTTGCATCTCTCTTAAAGTCATAGTTTTCTGTTCTTCACCTGTGTTCAGGTAGTTTATTTACCAAGTCCACCCATATCTTTAGCAACAAGATCACTTTGCTCAAAATGATGATTTGTGGCATTCAGACCTTTTGTGCATGTCTATCTCCTACTGGCAGAGGGACCAGGAACTGACATCATGTGCATAATCAGTCTTTTCTCTGTCTTCCTCTGTCCCCCAGGTATTAACGTCATACTCTCTTTTCATGGCCTTCACCATAACCCGAAGGTGTGGCCAAATCCTGAGGTATGATGTCCCTGAGAGGAAAAGAGGGAAGGGAAGGAGGTGATTCCTCAGGAACCCCTCCTCCTTCTCTTTCCTCTGGGCTTCCTGTCCCCTCTTGGTTTGGAACAAGGGACTTGGCCCCTACCTGTGCAGACACTGGTTCTCTTTCTGCAGATATTTGACCCTTCCCGATTTGCACCTGATTCTTCCAGACACAGCCACTCATTCCTGCCCTTCTCAGGAGGACCAAGGTGAGGTGTCCTGTGTTGGTAATTTGGTAATAGGGGATGAGGCTACTTTCCTGTAGCAAACCCTGCTACCTCCTATGCTCACATAGGGCCTCTTCTAATATACCCTTCTTTGTTGGTGTTATGGAAAGATGCCTTGTGCGGATACATCTCTGCACATAAGAAATAGAACATTTTGGGACACACCACAGAGACCTTGGTCCAATGGCCAGGTCAAATCCCAGTGTCAGTAGACATTACACATTCCAGTGTGTCCTGCTGCTTTCCTCAATTTAGAAGTATGATGTTAGGAATTAGAAATGTTTGTGTATGTCTGACTTCAGATGACGTGCTTTTTGACTGCCAGGAATCTCCAAGGGTAGATTTTTCTCACACATTTTCAATCCAGCCACCACTCTTTCTATTGATTCATTTTTTCTCAAGTCACTGCAGCAAGTGATTAGTTTGCCTGGATTCACTTTCTGGGTGCCTGCTATCTGCCACCTCTTTAGTCATATTTTGAAAATTTACAGTAAGCCATCAAAGAAAGTTTTACAGCACATTTTCAGTCTCTCCCAAAGTAATTTTTGATTGCATTTCAATGTTCACATTCTTCTTACTTTTCCAGTTGTCAAAATGGGATAGATGAAGTCCAGTGTAAATACTTTGAAATTACACTTATATCCAACATAGTTCAACTTTGGATTTAAAAAAAAAGCATTAAAATGGGAAAGTAGATTTGAGAGAAATCTACTATTTTGTATATACTACATATCACTGGACAGGTTCCTGGTGTGTAAAATATAAAACACAATTGAAGTAGTTGCTGAGCTGGACAAGAACACCCCAAAAGGGCTTCTTTTACCCTCAAAGCCCATGAGACTTGCCCAGTAGGATGTAACTTACTATAATGTCTATAAAGAAGTGGTAGAAACAGGCTTTTCTCAGTCAGTATTTTTATAAATTCTTCAAATTCAAAGTAAAACAACTTTCCTAGAACCAGCTTCAAGGAACTTGCCTTTGCAAAGATAGACTTTCTAGAATTTGATTTTTGTTCTAAGACAGTACCTCCTTGTACACTGACTATAAATCATATTGCTGCCACTAGAGGACAGGAGAATACGAGGTAGCTCAATTTTTAGGTAAATTTCTTATATTATTTTAAACTCAATTAAATTGAATTTTTTAACTCTAGTGAAGTTAATTAACTTAACTCAAATATAAAGGAAGGCCTTACATCAGCCTCTATGTGCCAAGTCCTATACTGGGTTATAAAATTAAAGATATCATTCCTCTCTCCAAGTGTTCAGTCAAGGGCAAATATGTGCTCTACAGAAAGAAGTAGCCATGCTTAAGGAAGACATCTTTCCTTCCTTTATTCCTTCACTCTCAATGGGATGGTCCACATTCCCAGCACTGTCTCAGTCTCTGGGTTGAGTAAAGTACCAATAGTATCACTGCGACCCCAGGAAGGAAAGGGACAGTGGAGCAGGGATGAGGACCAGCTGGTCATTTGTCTGGGCCTTAAGGATGTACAGGCAGAGATGGAAGAAGAACATGTTTGTGATGTGAGCTAGAACATGGGATCACATAGGTAGGAGGTGAGAGAGACAGCAGACATAGAAGATGTGGATGCACCATCCTGCTTAAGGAAAGACATGGAAGTATCAGTGTGGAAGAAGGGAAAGCACAGACACAAGAGAAATCTGGGACAAAAACACTGAAGAAACAAGCAGGGACATTTCTGAGATGAATTTAGAAGGGTACAGATTGGTGGCCTGGGGTGGGAGAAGGAAGTAGGTGCCTGACCACTGAGTGGGATCCCCAACCTGACCCCCCTTTGGTTCCTTATTAACACTTGGCTCCTGTCAGTGAACTTTCTTGAATCTCTAAATGCAATGAACTAACCAACACTTAATGCCTTAAATGACTCAAAGGATCAGACTGCCCCTCTGGCTCTGTCCTAAGAGAGTGATTCCATGCCTGTGAGAGCAACAGTGGACCAGGGGTAGCCATGCACAACTAGAAGACTTTGTCAAAGTTCAAGAGAGAGTGACCCAAGACCTAGGGCAGAGCTTTGCGTGAGTCAAACCGGGCATATAAATAGCCTGAATGCCCAGCTCTGGGCTGGGACTCAGGCACTAGTTCCTGACCAGCTCAGCATAGCTTCTGAGGCTATATCTTGTTTCACTGTTCCTGTCTGGCCTAGGAACTGCATTGGGAAACAATTTGCCATGAATGAACTGAAGGTGGCTGTGGCCCAGACCCTGCTCCGTTTTGAGCTACTGCCAGACCCCACCAGGGTCCCCATCCCCATACCACAACTTGTGTTTAAGTCCAAAAATGGGATCCACGTGTATCTCAGGAAGCTCCACTAACCTTGGTGAGTCAACAACATGTTCTGAGGGTCTGCTGCCTACCATCCTGTCTTCAGGTCCCCAGCCCATCTGCTCATCTCCTGCTTTCTATCTTCTCATCTTCCTGCTGTCCTGCCTCCTTCCTATGTGTCCTTCTTTTTTTCAAACTCCCTATTTGCTTGTCTGCTACCTGTCTCCTTTCTGCTTGCATCTCTGTTTATCTAGGCCCTGATCACCTGCCTATCCTTCAGCCTACCTACCTCTCTACCTGTTCTTTCCTTTTCTGCCTGCTGATTTTAATCTGTATGAGTTCCTGCTGATGTTATAATCAACTACCACAACCTTTGTGATTTGAAGTAATGAAAATCTACTCTCTTATAGTTCTGGAGATCAGAAGTCAAAAATAGGTACCACTGGGGCTGGAGATTTAGCTCGGTGGCATACGCGCTTGCCTTGCAAGGGTGCGGTCATGAGTTCGAACCCCTGTACTGATTAAAAAAAAAAAGGTATTACTAGGAGAAGATCTAGTTGTTAGTGTAGCCATCTTCTGCAGAGTTTTGGAGAAAATAATTTTAATTGCCCTTCCACTTTACAGATTCATTTCTTGTATTCCTTGGAACTAGCTCCTCTTTCTTTAAAGAATAATTTACCCATCTCAAAGTCTTTTACTTAATCAACCTTTCAACTTTCAGAGTTCTGTTTGCCATATGAGATAACATAATCCTGAGCTTCAAAGCTGAGGCATTGGACATCCTGGGAAAACATTATGCAGTCTGCCACTGTCCCTCCTGAACTGTCACCGGATTTCGCCTGCAAGGTGTCTATCTACCTGTATTTCTCTCACTCGAGCTTCTCCATCTCCTTCTTCCTTGCAATAAGGTTCCTAATGTCACATGGAGTGTCTTGGCCTCTTGTAAGACTATGGCAGGAAAAAAAAGATCGAAGGAAAGGAGACAAGTCCCTTCTGAGGAAGAAGAAAATGACATGCAGACTAGCAGAATGGAACAAGAAACAAAATCCAACCATATGCTGTTTACAGGAAACCCATCTAACCCAGAAAGATACTCACAGACTGAAAGTCAAAGGATGGAAAACAATTCTTCATGCAGCAGGAATCCAAAAAAAGGCAGGAGTAGCCATTCTGTTTGCAGACAACGTGAACTTTAAACCAACAATGACCATAAAGGACAAAGAAGGTCACTACATACTCGTAAGGGGAAAACTCCAAGAGGAAGAGATAACTATCTTAAATATATACGCACCAAACTCCAGAGCACCCAGTTATATAAAACAATTATTAACAGAAATGAAAACTCAAATTATCAGTAACACAATTGTAACAGGAGACCTTAATACACCACTGACACCAAGGGACAGATCAACCAGACAGAAAATGAGCAAAGAAATAACAGAACTGAATCACACCTGTGAACAAATGGGTTTTATAGACATATACAGAATGTTCCACCCAACAACATCAGAATACACATTCTTCTCAGCAGTACATGGATCATTTTCTAAAATAGACCATATATTAGCTCACAGAACATATTTAAGCAAATGCAAAAGAGTTGAAATCATCCCTTGCATGTTATCGGATCATAGCGCTCTGAAATTAGAAATTAATGACAAAGGATACTGCAAAAATTCCGCAAACACATGGAAACTAAATAACACACTCTTGAGTAATCAGTGGGTCACAGAAGAAATTAAAGAAGAAATTAAACAATACCTAAAAGAAAATGAAAATGCAGATACAACTTACCGGAATCTGTGGGATGCAATGAAAGCCGTTCTGAGAGGAAAATTTATTGCACTGAGTTCCCACATCAGGAAAACAGAACGAATACAAGTAAATAACTTGATGCTACACCTCAAACAGCTAGAAAAAGAAGAGCAAGTCAAGCCCAAAGCCAAAAGAAGAGAGGAAATTATAAGAATCAGAGCAGAAATCAATGCAATAGAGACTAAGAAAACAATCCAAAGAATCAACGAATCAAAGAGTTGGTTCTTTGAAAGAATAAATAAAATCGATAAGTCCCTAGCCAACCTTATTAAAAAAAGGAAAGAAAAAGCTCAAACTCATGCAATAAAAAATGAAAAAGGAGAAATCACTACAGACCCAATAGAAATACAGAGGATCATCAACACCTATTTCGAAAACCTCTACTCTCAAAAGTTTGATAACACAGAAGAAATAGACAGATTCTTAGAAGCATATGAAGTACCAAAGCTAGATCAAGAGGATATAAAACTGTTGAATAACCCAATCTCTGCTAATGAAATTGAGAATGTAATTGGGTCCTTGCCCACCAAGAAGAGCCCAGGCCCAGATGGATTCACTGCAGAATTCTACAAGAAATATAAAGAAGACCTAATGCCGACACTCCTCAAACTATTCAATGAAATTGAAAGGGAAGCAATCCTTCCTAAGTCATTCCTGGAAGCAAATATTACTCTAGTACCAAAACCTGAGAAAGACCCAACTATAAAAGAGAACTATAGACCGATCTCCCTAATGAACACAGATGCAAAAATCCTCAATAAAATATTGGCAAATAGGATCCAGCAAATCATCAAGAAGATTATACACCATGACCAGGTGGGATTCATCCCAGGAATGCAAGGATGGTTCAACATACGCAAATCAATAAATGTAATCCACCA